TCATTTGATTTCACTTGACAACACCCTCTGCCTTTCACATCCAAAACAAATCTCTTCTTGTGTTAAACTGGAAGCGATGCCTCCCCTCGGTTTGGGGCCAATGCCCCCATTAATGGCACCTCAGGGTGACTTTCCCCTGTGTCAGCATTTGGGGGGTTTTGTTCTTGGTTTATCAAATCTTTTCACTGATAAATCCCCCATCACTTATCCTCAGTCTTTTCATCTCTTTTACAAATAACATCAAAAAAACTTGTGTCCTTCATAAAATAACTACCCTTCACACTATGATCTAGTACATTTTCTGTTCTACCATTTTTTCCTCTCACCCTTTATGGCTAAAGCTTTATGAGCATTTTCTCTTTTTGTTTCTATTACCTAAACTCCTATGTGGTTCTCACTCATTCAAATGAGAGGTTTTATCTTCTCAACTCCATCATGATTAATGAATTTCTAAACACAGTAGTGTCATCCAAGATTTTTGTTCAAGTTCTTTCAGCAGCTTTTCACACTGTTGATTTTTTTTGTAATTCTTAAATGAATATGCTAGCATTGTTTTTTTTAATGCATTCCCTTAATTTTGTAATAAACAAGAGCTCAGTCAGCAGGTATTTCTCTCTTCACAGTCTGTGCACATTCTATTGGTAGTCTTGTCCAGTGGCCTGGTTGTAAATATTAACAAGCTCAAAACTTCCAAATGTGTATCTCCATCCAAAAATCAAGTGATTATCTATTTACTTGCAACTTATTCCTGGACATCTAGTGGATATCGCAGATTCAACACCTTCAGACTTCTCAGCTTTCACTTAAAAAGTTTTTTTATATAAGTTTTATTTTTTTAGAGCAGTTTTAGGCCAGAGACACAGCCCAGCCTTGAGCTAATCCTCCTCCTTTCACTTCATACATCTTAATGTCTTTGTCTCATCTGTCATTTCCACCTGATACTTTTCAGACTACTTAACCTTGTTTTCCCCAGGCTGTTCCTGCTTCTCTTTCTGAACAAATTAATTGACCATACTGATAACTTCTAGTAATTTGTACATTTTATAATTTTTTTGAGAGATAATCTCAACTCCCCATGCAGACGCTGTCACTGCAGTTACAGGTGAAATAATTGCTCCCCAGCAGGCGATGAGCTCATGGTGTCTCAGACCTTTGTCTCAGGGGGTGTCCCTTTTGCACACATGCTCCCAATGTGACCACAGTACCTGTTCTCCCAGCAGGAGGTGACATTTGTGTTTGGTAAGTGGAACTGCCTTTTAGATAAACAGATGAATTCTTAGAGAAATATGATACTGCTTAGAAAACATTTTAAGGAATATTGTGTGTGAATATAATCGTGTTTTCCTGGAGTGAGAACGTGGAGACCAGTGTATAAGGAGGGATCTTTTCTGAGAGTTCCCAGGAAGTCAAACCCCCAACATTCCTGTCCTTGGGCTGTCCCTTTTATTTCTTGGGAACTCTCAGAAAATATCTCTCTTTATATATTGGTAACTCTCTGAAATTCTGGGTTTAGGGAGCAGGGATCATCAGGTAATAATACTGCATTAAAATCTACATGTAACTCTGACATTTAACTAGATGTAAAGATCCTTAGAAATTCCCTGAACTTCAGCAGCTGCTTTGAATCTGTTGTGGTTTCTAAAGTCATGACCCCGACTTGACTTTAGAAGCAGTAATAACTTGGTCTATTCTGACCACTGAGATCCCAGTCAGAGGAGCTGTTGATAGGGATTATTCTGTCACTTTGCCAGGAAGGAAAATGTGCCCAGTGTAATTCCTAGTTGTGCCTCCAGAGACAGCAATTTGATCAAAGAAATGAGATGGGGTTTTATTTTTGCATGAATGTCTGCGTTTCTTAAAGGTGATATGGGACCAGAATTGACAAAACGTTTGTGTCTACGTTATTTACCCAAGTTCTGTTGTTCTTACTCCTGCTTAATTGAAATATCAGATTATTATTAAATTCAATTTTATGATTTATCTTTGTTATGATAATGATTCACGGGCAGCCCTCCTATGTCTTCCTCTCATTTGGATTTGTTAATCCGTTTCTAAAGTTTATTTTTAAAAATTTTACCAGTGATTTCTTAAATTTTTAATGTTGTGATCCATTATCATTTCTTTTCTTAATTAATCTGTACTTTACTAAGATTCCAATGTTTCCCAAACTTTAATTCCATTTATATATTTATTATAATTTGATCCATTATTGCCTATTAATATAAACAAGTGAAAGATCATTATAAAAATGAGGACAGTTCTTATTTGATGAATACTGATTTAATTTTCTGGAAAACATCTACCATTCAGATACTTAATAAAAAATTACTAAGTAAGTGTGGATAATGGAACTGAAGATTTTTACAATTAATAATAATATTTTATAAATCTAGAAAAATCCTACTCTTACACCATTGTAAAGATTTTCAAATCAAGAAACCATATTTTATGTTTGTCTCAACAAAGTTAGATGAGATTCCAGTGAGAATATTTATTATGCAAAGTGAGGATGTGAACCTGAATTAAATATCTGGCAAATGAGTGTATTTTTACATATAAAATGATTTCTTTTAAATTTATTATGTGTTTGCATGATAATTTCTGAAACAAACCTCATTTTATATTTATGTTGTATGTTGTATTTTTCTCTTGAGAAATGTTTAACTTTCAGTGTTAAAATGTATGATCATTTATCTTATTAATAAGGGAGGACACATAGAATATTAGTCTCTCCTTTCTACTGTGTGAAATATCTTCTGTTGTGCTTCATCTTTATATTTTAATTTTTTCGTGCCTTTTAACATACATAAATTGTACATTTTCACCTACTCCATTAAGTTTTAATTGAAGTATAGTCAGTTACAATGTGTCAGTTATAATGTGTCAATTTCTGGTGTGCAGCACAATGTCATACATATACATACATATATTTGTTTTCATATTTTTCATCATAGGTTACTGTAAGATATTGAATATAGTTCTCTGCGCTTTACAGAAAAAAAGATTTTAATCTGTTTTTATATATAGTGGTTAATATTTGCAAATCTCGAACTCCCAGTTTATCCATTCCCACCCCGTTTACCCTGGTAACCATAAGATTGTTTACTAAGTCTGTTCCTGTTTTGGAGATGAGTTCATTAGTGTCTTTTTGTTTCTTTTTTTAGATCCCACGTAGAATGATATCATATGGTATTCTTCTTTCTGTTTCTGCCTTACTTCACTTAAAATGACGGTCTTCCAGTAAGTTTAAATTACTGTATGGCTTCTATTTTATACGTTGCTTACTAAGTACTTATCACAAGTCATGTTTTAAAAATATATATACAGTCCTATACAGTTTATCTGTTAGATTTAGATTTTTGTAGTTATAGACATGTTTTTCTTTTTTAAATATTGAAACACTTAAAAACATGTATGTAAATGTTTTTATTTGTCTAAATGTCATGTAATAGAAATTTAACTTTAGTTTTTCAAGTAAGTGTACCAGTATTTTAATAATTTATATTGACTTTTCTTTTCCAACTAATTTTAAAATTCATTTTTACTCACACTGTTTCTGTTTTTTCATAGCTGTAAATCTTTATCTGTCTGCTTTATGTACAAAAATATCTATCCAATTTTATATCTCTGTTTATCTGCCTACCTCCCTGCATATCAATGCTTTAAAACATTTTGAGGACTCTTCATAATCTGTTTCATAGCATCAGTTTTACTGTCTAATTATTGATCAAAAACCAAGCTGTAATTGCATTTTTCAATAACTGATAGACTTAATTCTCCTCTTAAACTCAGTTTCATTTATTTCTCTTTTTCACTATCCCAGGAAACTTGTTAATATTATTTGATTACAAATTGCATTATTTAAGCATACTTTGATTTTTTAATGAATTTATTTACAATATTAAAGCTTCCCATGTGAGACCATAAAGCTTCTCTCTCCTTTATTTAGATCTTTTTTTTAAAAGTCATCCATTTTCTTTTAATGTTTCTTTTACATTTCTTTAATTTTATGGTTGAATAGCACAACTAAGTATCTTTCATAACATTTTCCCTCATTTTTAAATACAACATTGTAGAGAAGAATATTGTACATTACTAATTTTTAAACATAGTATATCTGTATATTCTAAATACTTATTAGCATTAATAAGAATTTATTTTATTCATTATATTCAGCCACTATGCACCTGCATTTCTCTCTGAATGGTTACTTGTGGTTTTGTGATTTCTGTAAATAAACCCAGGATAATATTTCACCTTACTGATGGACCATGCCTGAAATGTACTGAACAAAAAGTGGTGGTGTGTGTGCAGCATTGTGATCTCATTTCTGAACAATTTTGAAGTGGTACTAATATTTAACCACTGCAATACAAATATAAAAAAGAAAAGGCGAAACTACCAGTACCCAGTTGTCAGCCCAGGGAGGCTGACGTGGGGTTCTAGGAGGTGAGCGGCCCAAACGAACAAATGCACGAGGAGTTGCCATACCGCCAGACAGACTTCAGCCGGAGACACCACGGGGTTAACAGCACTTTATTGCCACAGGGAGGTGCGCGCCTGTGATGCACCTGTCCTGCTTTGTATCTGTTCTCGGCCGGCACGTGTGCAACGTGAATTTCTTTGTTCATTAGGTTTACAGAGCATCTCAAGCGCATGCATACTTCTACTTTCTTTGTTTTAAGTCTTATATAATTGACGCATGCGTACAGCAGTTGTTCACTGCACACTAGAAACATGCTCTGATCTTGGCCTTGGGTCCCACGGCCTTAACTCATCCCAAGGCCAGCTCACACCAGTGATTTTGGAAGAGGTCAGAGTTGAACATGAGTTAGTGTCCTCTTTATATACTGCACCTTTCTTCATTGCTGAGGCTCTTGTTTGGGAGCCAAGATGCTACTCAACAGTAGGTCTCTTGTCTGCCTGGTAGTATTTTAACTGGAACCTTGTTTTTATGAAAATTGAGACTATTGCAGAAACCACCTGGGTTTGCTGATATTACAATATAAGTACAAACTTGGCTGCAGCTGGGAAACACCAACCTCCTCGATGGGGTCTTGCGTTCCCTACTTTGCAACTCTACTACATCGCTGGCTATTTTCCCCCTCTCCTGAAATGAAGGCATTTAGATTGTTGGTGCTGGCTTAGGAAGATGGTGAGAAAGAAGTAATACAAAGAGATTTCAGTGAACTCCAGTCTGAAAATAAAGGGTAAGCATGCCAAACAAGGAAGTATGTAGTACCGCAGGGAACAAGGTAACAAAGTCACCGCAAGCAGAGAACAAACTCAGTGTTTCTCAATTACTGCAACAAAGTTTCCAACTTCAATACAGATCTTTTGAAACATCTGCAAAAGAGAAGAGGGTGGACCACCCATGGACTCATCACAGCTACAACATAAACAACCCAGGGCCAACTCAGTTCATCTTCCCTCCAGCCAGTTCACAGGTTCTTGTATTGCCCTCTGGACCTCTTCATCCGCCCATTGTGACATGCATCACGGACCTGCTATGTGATCCTACAGTAAGGAATGATTATTGCTTCAGTTTAGGTTATGTCCCACTTCTGTTTCCTATTTCTCATATTAGGTGGAAACTTTAGAGAAATGCATTATTTTACTACTTTTTTAAATGAAAAAAATACTGTAAACTAAGCTAAAAGAGTGGTAAACTACAAAGTGTACTAAAATAAAATATTTCCTGCATGACATTGGATGTAAACTTGTCTTCTGTTTACAGAGAGTGGCCAGAGGGGTTCCCCTTAGCACCATCTGCCTTCTCAGTCTCTTCCAGGCCATTAAGCTCAACCCCAAAACCTCTAAGTGGAGAGAGCTCAAGATTAGATTCCCAGTGTGCACTGGCTTCTGCTGTTTTCTCTGCTGGATCCTGCATCTCCTGTTAAACATCATTAACGCCATGAATGTTACTGCACCAAGGAAGAGCACAAACATGAGTATGCGGGGAAGTTATGGCTATGGTAATTCACCCGTACCAAACAAATCTGTAGTCCCACTGCATGCATCTGTGTTCGTTTTCATTGATGTTACGTGTTTGGGCCTCGTGGCCTGGGCAGGTGACTCCATGGTCCTTGTCCTGCACGGGCACAAGCAGTGAGTCCAGCACCTTCACAGCAATAGCCTCTCCCCCAGACCTTCGCGTGAAGCCAGAGCCACACGCATCATCCTGATCCTGGTGCATCTTCTTTTCTCTTCTCTCCTCCATTTTGTGTTTTTTGGTAACACTGATTGTAAACCCAAGCCACTCACTTATGAACACCTCTGCAGTACTGTCTTCCAGATTCCCAACATTCAGCCCCTTCTGCTCATTGGCATCAATACCAGTGACTCTCACTTCCACTCTGCCTTCTGCTGAAAAGAGTAATTTTCCCAAGTGTGGTCTCTGGACAGTAAGTTCCAAGACATCCTATTATGGTTCGTAGGCTTGTGTCTTATGCCAGGTAATCTGTCACCACATTGGGATTCAGTATGGAGTGACAGCAAAAATAAACCCTGGCTTTCCACTGCTTATAAGATTGCCGGAAATGAACATGGAGTAAATGACTCAGTGATGACTTTCTAAAATTATATAATGCTGGTCACTGGAGAACATCAGGCAATAAAGATCATGACCTATGGGAACACTGTCAGTGTTTGGGAGTTCTGGAGTGGAAACTCACTGTTGATTCAGACTTTGAAATGACATCCAAAAGATGTATTTGCATTATCAAAGCAGAGTAAGTGAAAGGTGTTTCACGTGCAAATAAAATGACCTGGAAATACCCTGAATTGGCAGGGCACAGGTGGACTTCAAAGAATTGGAGGAAGTTCATGGCATTTGACAAACAGTATATGGTATATAGTGTGGTGAGAAAGGAAAGTAGGTGATATCTGTGGGGTTTGGGGACAAGAGGCCCCATATTGAGCCAAGGGGGCTCCAGTCACAAGACATCTACCTGTGCCCTAATCACTCAAGTCAGGAAGACATAGATCAGAAAACACAAAGAACATTCCTCTCCCAACATGTAAAGTAATAAATAGCATGGGAGCCAGCTTCTGTGGGGTCCACGGACATCTGGCAGATTCCTGCTCCAAGGCCCGTCAAGACACCTGGCTGCTGGCCCTTGAAGACAAATCAAAACAACCCCCCCCATCTTTCTTAATATATGCTTGCCTTAGCTGAGATAATGGTCATCTATACAATGCCAGGAAGCCTGGAAGCCTGACCCAGAACCGGGCATGACCCCCTACCAAAATCCCTAGCCCTACCCTTCACAACCCCTCTCTCCCCGGTTAACTCCGCATCATTCAGAGAAATGTGCACATGTGCATCCTGCGACCCTCTTTGTGCCTGATGTCGTGTAAGCACGAGTTAAAGTTTATCCTGTCTTACAAAAGACCTCAGCAACCGGCCCCCGGCGTGCACACAGGCACCCCTGGTCTGTGTGGCCACTGTTGTCTGTGACAGTGTACCTAATAAACCCCTTTTCTATTTTCATCCTTTGTCTTTGGTAAGTTCTTTTCCCACTGGCCTGCCAGACCCCACGACAACATCTTTTTCTGGTGGGTGTTGGCAGTCACATCAGTGATCACAGCTTTTCATAGGAGAGATCATAGATCTCTGAGATTTGTGTCTACTTGGTGAAATAATCAAAATCGTGTATGATAAAAAAACTCAATTTAAATTTATTGTACTTTATAGTTTACTACTTTTATGTTAGTTTGTAATATTTTTTCATTTTAAAAAAATAGTTAAATAATGCATTTCCTAATTACTGATATTGAGGGGTCAGATCTGACAAAGGGTCTCCTTGACCAAACTTCAGTCAGGTTCCCCTGAACGCTCTTCCCGACTAGGCCTGCACTTTCGGACTTCCTTGCCCATCTTTTGTCACTAAGTCACCTTTATAAGTTAAGACCCAGGCACAAATCCAACTCCCTTCGCTGTGTAGTATTACATGTCATTTCCTCACTTCCCCGTGCCCTCACCTCCTCTCCTTCCTTTCGTGCCTGTCACGTTCTAACAGTGTATATAATTCTGTATTTTTTTTCGTATTTCTTCCTCTGTTGCGTACAGGGTAAGCTCCCTGATGGCTGGGATCATCGTCTCGTTTTCACACTGGTTCCTCGCACTTAAGGCAGTGCCTGAAATGCAGTAGGAGTTCGCTGAATACTTGCTAGAACGGTGAATAAGCATGACACTACAGTATCTCTGCTCGTCTCCGCCGTCCGTCAGCCACTGTCCTGGCCCACAAAAGCATGTGTAATGGTTCTTTCCAGACAGGCGGCCTATCCTTGAAAGGAAATAAATACACCTCAGCTCTTAGGCTAAGAATGTCATCTGCACCAAAGAGTGCCGCTCCCTGGGTTGTACGCGGTCGGTGGCCTTGACCTCCTGCCTCAAAATCACCCCACCCCAGTCCTCCCAGCCCCTGTCCGGAGCCCTTCCGGGAAAGCAGCCTCCGTCCGAGGCGAGCTCGTGCGCCCCTCGCCGCAGGGCGCCCGCACCGTGCCTTGCCCGCGCCGGGACCCGCCACTTCAGCGGGGGCTCGCGAGACCGGCTGAAAGCGTCCTTCCGTCCGTCCGTAGTTTTTAAAAAGGAAGTATGCGTGGACTCGAAGTGACACCTGACGTGCGGCGTCCACCAGGTGCCGTGGCTTCGGGACTATCTGGGAGAGCGCTTCTAAGCGGCGCCACGGTCCCGGCGGAGCCTCGAGGCCCGCTTCCCAGCGCCCCTTGCGGTACCTCGGCCTCAGCCCAGGCCGCGAGGGCTCCGCGGGAACCACATTACCCAGACGCCCCTGCGCCGCGAGCGGCGGCTCCGTTAAAGGGCGCTTCCGTGCGTGCGGAGGTCGTCCGGGAGGGACTTCCGGCGTCTTCCTCGCGGCGGACATTTTGTCGGCTCTTGGTCGAGCCGTCAGAACGGACTCTCGGGAACTGGGGTTCCGTTCAGAGGTGACGGAAAGCGAGAAGATTTGGGAGGAGACCCTGCCCCCGATTCCTAGAGCCCCAGCGGCGGCAGCGCCCGCGAGCATTCCGCCACCAGGGCCGAGCGACGGCGGTGCCCGGGTCCCGGCCTGGGCCCCCTCCCGCCCCATGTGCCCCGACTTTGAATGCGGCGGCGGCGGCGGCGGCGGCTGTGAGGGACCCGGCGTAGGTGGGTGCTCGTTCCCCGGAACTCGACGCGTCCCGCCCCCGTCTCCGGGTCGTGGGCCTCCGAGTGAGCCGTGCCTGTTGAGGTTCGTGTGGCCCAGGCTCCAGGGCGTGTGGGTGGCGCCACCACTTCTAACAGCCAGTGTGACGAGACGTGGAAGAGTGTTACCGGCCGAGCGACTAGCACGAGCGGGGGCTTGGGGGTGCGACAGAGCGCGCAGCCTTGGGGAAACGGTGCTGGTAACGCTAGAGCAGAGCGTGTGAGTAGCTGTCATGCCTGCAGGGGCAGGGTGAGGCGAGTACCTTCGTTAGGAGGACGCCGGGAGCCGTGGAGGGGCGTGATCTGATCAGAGATATTAGAAAATATCCCGAAGTATCTCTCAGGGGAAAACAAGCTAGGTTGGGGTGGAGGTGATGAGGGTGGAGGTAGGGAGACCGGTGAGGGGGGCCACAAACCCCCGGAATGTTGTGGAGGTGGCTGTACCTGAACAGTGGCAGGAGGGGTTGGAGAGTGGGTAACTCGTTAAATTCTGGGGAGGTTTTGAAGGTAGAACCAATGGAATTTTCTGCTGCGTCACTTATGACTATAAGTGAAAAAGGGGTGTGAAGGAATACCCAAGTTTTGTTTTGCTTTTCCCCTGAACGTCTGAAAAAATGGAAGTGGGTAAGTTGGAGCAGGGACTCCTTTCAGGGGGAGCAGGAGTTGGACTTCGGACGTGGTAAAAATCCAAAGTGTCGTAGTAGAGGTGTCACATGGCCATCTGGAGGTGCTGGTCTGAAGTTCTGCTGAGCACGTTGGGCTGAAGACCTCTGAAGAATGAGGCCTCAAGTCAGATTTAGGGAGAGAATATGTTGCTTTACGTTGTCCCTGAGGTGAGAGATTGGAGCGCAAGGAAGAAGGGGTGAACATCCCTAAGGTTCCCTCCAGAAAGGAGAGGTCCTGGAATATGAAGGGGATATGGCGGGTGTCAGCAGGAGGAGAGGGCTGTAGGGTGTTAGGAGCCTGATGAGAGCTGGGAAGCAAGGTGTAAACTGCTGTAGATCTGCTACCCTGTGGACTCGGTGTGCCCCCTTAGGCACAGCCTGTGGAGAGAAAAAGTCTGCCAGGCTAATGGAGCAGCCCCACCCCAAACCAGAGCACTGGGACATCAGTTCCCCAGCTCCCCAGGTGAGAAGAAATAATGAACATCTCTGATGAAGGGCCACCAGAGTGCTCCCCTTGAGAGGAGTATGCTCCAGTTAGGCTGGTTTGCTGAAAGGACTTGCGTATACCTGCTAAGTATACATAAGGAGGCAGTTACAAATTAAGAATATTTATACCAATGCTTAATAATCAACTGAAGTGTTTGCCTCTAAGTATTTGATTACAATGGAAAGTCTTAATGTTTTCTTAAAGACTTAAAAAACAAACCCAGAATTTAAAAGAACGTATTACTTCATTTGCAAGTAGGAGGTGACACTAAGGTCTGAGTATCTGAAGTTAGACAACCTGAAATCGTCCTCACCAAAGGGCAGGGCTTAGGGGAACAGTTTAGCCCGTCAGACCCCATTGTGGTAACCTGCCGCTCCCTGCTCCCTCTTCCTGCCAGGTTGCTGTGGTGGCAGAAGGGCTTATGAGCCCTACAGAGGTGAGTGCAAAGTGTGGAGGTCCTCAGTCAGCCCAGCCCACCTCCCCGTAATCTTGGGAACCCAGTATGGCGAATAGTGGTGTCTTGGGAATCGCGACCTACCCTTTTGCCTGCCGTTGGGTTTGGGGATCCTGTTGTTACCATTGGTGTTGTGCCGTGAAAACCGTTCTGGGATGATATGGAAGGGTTTCCATTTCCAGCAAGCATTGGGATGAACTGTGAAACTGTCTGAGGCACGGAAA